GGAAAAATACCACTATCCTTTCTGACTTTTAATCCGAAATATTTTTCGATAGGTACCATCAGCTGATAGTTCTCTGTCTTCAGTAATAAGAATAGTAGGTTGGTGGACCTAATTTAATCTTGACACTTTACCTTCGGGTAAAGGTCCAGCTTCTCCTAAAAAATGTTCACTGGTGCTGGTGAAACCACCTGTTCGGGTAAGTCGTTCCAGTCATTGACCACCATATTAGAAAAACCGAACCTTCAGGTTTATCAGATCGCGCTTTGTGAAACTTCTCGCTATGACCTCGGATATTCTTAGTGCCGGAGGGAGTAAAGAGATAGGACATATCAATACCTGAATTGTAATTAAAGATGCGATGTGCAAGTGTCAGGTCACCTCGCATCCTACGATACGACAAGTGGAGAAGGTTTAGGCGTTTTAAGCTCTCAACGTAAGGGACTTTGGAAAGACCGTTCACTTAATTTGTTCCCACATTCTTACATAGGTGAGATACATAATTTGAAATACCACGTCAATCATTTGAATGCTCAGCGGAGTGACCACAACGCACGAAACTCTTTGGCAGCTACTGCGCTGTAATGAATAATTATTTTCAAGTCTTGACTTAATATTACTCCTAAGTCTTTATGTTCCTGCACTCATGGAAGTTATGTACCGTCAATAACATACTAATAACTTATCATGTACAATGTGCATGAGCACACTCTCTAGAATTAGCCTCTAAGCCCTAACATCGGGCACATCTAGATAGTTCGTTTAGGTCGAGATGAAGATCAAAATGATCAACCCCACTTATTATTGTTCTCCGACAGATGATAGCAATCGTGGATAGAACTTATCAAGGCCCGGTATCTTGCAAGGTTCGAGGTTAATAATCAATAGTACAGTTTTCCCAGTCACATGGCTGGTATATCAGTGATATGACTAGGATAAGTATTTTTAAAAATGCATGTGGGGTAGATTTCGAAGAAATAGTTTGATAATCTCAGCCTTTCCCAGACCTGATTGAGCTAGTAGATCTGTATGTTTGCTCAACAGTACTAAGAGGGACACCGTCACTACGTTTTGTCCTCCGTTTAACGTACGAAAAGTCTCTTCGGACAAGTACGGTTATTATATACCTACTGTCTTCCGTAAATAGTACGGCATTTATCTATGATGTTTTTGCATATATTCCGAATTTTTCGGTATTTACACTTAAATGATTTGTGTCTTGTTGACAAGAATAATTCCCAGAAGTGTCTCCGGGTTTCCTTATTACTCCACGAAGGACAATGTGATAGCTTACGTGTTGACCATGGGATAAACGGTGGTTACAGATTCGAATGTATCCATAGACTTACTGCATTCGTCTTCCATCGATCCATCCCTATCGACCGATTAGTTTATGCACATAACAGTCTCTAATTGCCGGAATACTATCTAGCCAGATATCGTGACGGGATGGAACAGATAAATATTGTATACCATGTGTCCGAAATCCAAAATAAAGGACAACGTGATCACTATTAGCTGGTGGTGGAAAGTACTGAATGTTGGTTATATCGTCACAGTGGTGTGTGAATACAAAGTCCAGAAAAGATAAACCATGTTCCGAATCAATGTGTGTCAGTTTTGCGACACATTGTTAAAGTGTACACTGAAAAATGGTTGATAGAAGGTCGCTATCGAAACCCCTACCTGGATCTGTAAGCCCCATCCAGTTGATTCGCGTCGCTTTGAAATCTCCAATGATGAGACAACATTTGGCCTTACTCAAAGAACAGATGTATCTTAGGGTAAAATAGTCAGCAAGACAACACGGATTACGGTATATTCCTCCTAAAGTCACTAACTCGTGTTTAGACTTAGTTATACGATATGCTACCTCACATGCGCCTCAGAGATGATCGGTTGTACATAAAAGTGATCCATAACGTATAACATTATGCTTCCTTCTTTGCAAGTTATAACTCTATCACTTCTAATACAGATGTAGCCTGCAATGGTGAAGGAATAGTTTACATCTACGGCGAGTTAAGTTTCTGTGCCAACAATTATATCGTGACCTGATTTACCAAACTTAGCTTTGGCATTTTATTTTGAAAACTAGAGGCATTCGTCTAGCACACATTTGAGATGTTTTAAGAATCACTTGTTCCACTCATACAGGTTTCGGAAGCATTAGCTTATAAGACCTGACTACCCGAAACCATTAATCGTAAGGTTCGTCTCGCCATTTAACTTTCCAGTTTTTAATTTCGTAAGGGCATTCTTTCGCTTGACTTGACCCTCAAGAGGCCGATCTGTTTGAATACAAATATTTGAATCACGAGTCTTGTATGTGTTATCTAATAATACGTCTCTTTCTCCGAAATGCCCGAGCACCTACTTCAAGACTATTCTTGATTGGGTTTTATCTCCAACCCAGTCACTTAGTCTTATTACTTTCGTGACATATACCCCTGAAACCTCTTCAGGCAATGGATTTCTGATGGAGGATTCCATTAACGCCAAATCATTTGTATGTCGTCTAGTACGATCATTGTCTTTCGACTTCTCTGGGTTCCAAATAATTAGATTGGCAACAGATTTAGCTTCTTTGAAAGTTAGCTCCTTCCTGTTAACTACTTGGTAATTGCCATCGGTTTTATTGTGACTGAGTTGTGGGAGCTGAGCGACTGACTCAGGACAATGTTTGCCGACACCAAACGTTTCCCACCTACTATAGGGTTAAATATTGTCCTACGCTGGAGCTTTGGCGAAGTAATCTGCAACACAGAATATGAGTTCATCAAGGACTTTGGAGCTAAACGGGCGCTGATTTTGTCTATCTTTCCTTCTCTTCAATGTCTTCACGCCATCTATTTCCCATCAGTTGCAGCATTCACATTAGAAGTACTCGGGAGGACATAAATTTCATCTGGGTTATCAATCGTTGCTATAACAACTTGGCCACCAGTATCCAATAGTGTTTCACTCATTAATTGCTTCGAGGTAGAAATACCTATTGCATGTTGCACAGACGGGTTTTGTTGGCCCGAGATCTGCCTCTAATTAGATCGTACGGATGATTGTTGTTGATAATATACATATCGTCAATCCCCGTATATAATTAACGACTTAAACCACGTTAGTGAATAACGCAATAAAAAATGTCAAATACGAGAGCAGATTTTTGAATACATGTATGTTGTACAACTGTTGATCAAAGCAAACAATCGAAAAAACGAAGCGAAGAAAGCAAAGAGAAGAGAACGAAGCGAAATGACGCGCAGTAGAGAAAGTGAGTGAGCTAACTCCATTTAATCAAGCGTTGACCAAAATTTATAGCCAAACAAAAATAAGTTACGGACATGTGATGAATGAGGCAAGAAGTGTACACACGCATGCGTTTTTATAAAAATATTCAAAGTTGATAACTGAATAGCTAACAAGGTCAAAATGTGACTTAACAAGAGTGGATAAATTGGCTTGTCCAGAAGCTAAAATAAGTTATATGAGCTTGTAGTGACTCACTTTTATCACGAGAACACGATTTGTTTATTGTAAACAATTATTATTATAACCAATTGTACCAGTGACTGTTTTAATGTGATTTTGTTAAACTGTGCTAAAAACATACATTATTCTTACACACTTTGATTGTGACTTCGCGCAAATTCGGTTACGTTCTGTAACCAAGCTTGTATCCTGGCACGATCTCGGTATCCTTCCGATACCCCGAGATCGCCAGCAAATATATCTCGATTTGGACCATTAACTGCCTTCTGATATTTGGCTTCCAGGGGATTTTATGGAGTCATTTGGCACGCGTTTCTTTGTAGCGGTGTTCAAAGTCAATCTCGACTGGACGCCACGCTACAAGTTTAACATAGTAACCGACACTGCAGGGTGTCTGGTACGTACCGTAACAGCACCCACAACACCCACACATTCTTCGGCATCAATACCTGAATTACCGATACAACCCTCATTAACCTTTGTGTTAGCCGACGCCAGAAAGTTAATTGCCTCTTGGATGAGTAATTTTTGGCTCAAACAAGACATACAAAGCAAATGGGAATTAGGTCTTTGAGCACCTTTCATATGGAGGTGAGCTTAAGTCAGTACGCATCCTATGGAATCACTTCTTACATTCATCACATTTCATTCCTTCCTCCACATGTAATAAACAGTACGGCTGTCCACATTTGGCGGCAGGACCGACCATCTTAAAGATCGACCAAAAATGGTCGCACAAAAATGGATTTGAGAAACGTTTCAAACCTTGGCCGAAAAAAGTCAAGTCAAAGTCGAACAAGTGTGCTTTGATAGGACAAATACACGAAAGCAAAGCCAATACACATAAGGTTAGAATGAGCACGATTCTTAAAATAAACTGCATCTGTTCGCCCCAGTGACCTGAAGATTTGGAGATCCCCACATTTATATACTTCATGACCCTATAATTCTTTAAACTTGTATGAATGCAATTTTAATGCTAGTGAATATAAACCCATTGCACTATAGAACCGGTCCAGATAGGAGAAATTAAATACATATTCTGAGCAGACTCACTAAGTAAACGAGCCCTTTCCTTTTTGTGTTATCTATCGGTAAATATCGGTCAAGTAGTACAGTGACAGCAGTAGTACTCATATACATCAAACTTTATTAGACCACCATACGTGCTCATTGAAGACAATACAATTAGTAAACCCTAAATCCTTTTATAAAATAATGGGACCCAGGCACTGTACAGATTAAGGTGCACAACACAGCTTCCAGGCGATTCATACATAATATTTCAATTTAGACACTGAAATTCTGAACTCAACAACTAGCATTGAAGAATTAGGGGCTCATATTCAAACGGCATCTCAACCTCTAGTTCACAGTCATGAGTCGCAAAAATCAAATTAACATCCACATGAATTTCAAGTCAAACAGACCTACAAAACTGCATTTGTCTGACTGCAATGAACACGCAAACCAATGACTCAATCTTGTCTACACGTCATCAAGAACCAACAGTTGATTGTTATTTATTAACAGGTATATTTTACTGAAATTAAATGCAAGTAAGTGTTTAAGACCATCCGCCATACCACTGGCTGGCTTTGCCTCCAACATGCTCTCCAGATCCCATACTTCCATACCCACCATAGGTGCCACCGCGGGAAGCACTACAAGGAAAACAAACATATGTTAAAAAAGGTTGTGATCTCGGAACGGGGAGTAAACAATAATCCAACTCTGCAGTAGCTAGGTTACGGCAAGTACCGTCTTCTCTGTTTCAATCCGACACACACTAGTAATACAGGACCATGTGGCGTGCCTTGAGCCACACCATTTTTGTTAGGACTATTGGTACCACTCGGTTGCCCGAACCGATGTGGGTGAGTCGAAGATCGAATATCAGACCTTCTGCTCACGACGAATCCTGATACCTCTCGGAACTCCATTCACAGCCAGCATTGCCAGTGGGTGCACTTCAATATAGACAACCTCGTTCCGTAGAAATTAATGTGAAGCGTACTCCTTACAACCTAGGGCGAATATTCTTAGCAACTAAGTGGATTGCTACAGACCGGCTGATTCAACAGTGGAGCATCTGACGGTTGACTGGGGCTCCAGAGACAACGATGGTCCCCCAGCTGCTACCGCGTGTATGATTTCTGAACTAAGTTGAACAATAGCTAGGGGTGAGTTCTTTTTACGTAGTCAACCCTGAGGTACACAGCTGGATCCTAATTCCTATAAACTACTTAAACATTCACGAGTTCTGGTGGTTTAGTGTTGCGTTACGTAGTATAACATGAAATGACCTACCTTTGACCACCTGCCATGTCAGCAGATCCACGCTGGCTTCCACCATACCCAGAACCGCCGTAACCTCCAGAAGCCATGTTGCCTGATCCACCGTATCCAGGGCCGCTGAATCCTCCCTGTCCAGTTTGGTCAATGCCTCCGTATACTCCGTTGTCGAATCCTCCTGACCCGTCATATCCACCTTGACCACCGTAGCCTCCGTCTGCGGAACTACTATAACCACCTGGAGGACCCATAGAGTTGTTACGACCGGCAGGAGGGGGGACAGGTGCTGGGCCTGAAGAGCCCATCATTCCTCTCTGGCCTTGAGCGAGAGGCGCACTTCCACTCATCATTCCGCCACCGGAACGAGGTCCTCTACCACGACCTCCAGGAACCGGTCCGCCGCCCATAGGACCCATTCCTCCACCTGGTCCCATCCCTCCTCCCATAGGGCCCATACCGCCACCCATCGGCCCCATGTCTCCACCACCCATCATGTACGGACCTCCCATGTTATAACCCATCGGCGGCATGCACCCAGGTCCACGGAGAGGCATCCCTTGGGCGAGTGCTGCTGCAGCTTCTCGAGACAACCAACCGCCATAGTTGAGAGCATCACCTTCACTGAAGTTGGCAGCGTCATAATCCTCACGGCGACCACGAGGAGGAGCAGACTGAAAAGTACAAAACACAACATTGTGTCAGGAACACAGACAACACAATAAATACCAAGCAACTGGTACTACTATATGCAGTGGATGCACCCACACCACAAAAGGTCAGCCAATACACTCGAAGGCGTGACACAACACTCAGATGTTAGTGCAACACACCGTTCGTCAATACTCTTAGTTTTGGAAGTATGACTGCTTACTGACACTGCAAGTGTGGAGTGCAATTGGTTGTCGATAGGGTCGTGACAGTACGACTCGCGCACAACCATAGGACAACAGACCCAGGTTTGTGGTTATCAGTGATTTGGTTGTGGGAGCCGACCGGAGGGCAGAAATGACCGAGCTAAACGTATGTACTTACCTCTACTGCTTCTATCACAGCTCTCAAACATTGGACGACATTGTCTGGATCGGCAACCATCTGTACAACTCGGTCAGTAGACAACGGAGCCAACATCTGGTACACCTTGATAACACGCATTTTGTATTTCTAAATTTCATGTTTTAACAAACGTTGACAAACTTACATCACGAAGGTCCTTAATACGTTCACCGCCTCGACCGATTACAGACCCAGCTTGGCTTTCGTGCACTAATATTCTGAAGTCAATCATGTTTTCGTCTTCCTCATCATCTCGTTCTGGATCTTCACTTCGTCTCGGGCGGCGTCGAGATCCTTGGGCACCCATTATGCGTTTAGGGTCGGAAAGTTTGGCATTCATTATATCCTTTGAAGTCAATTTTATTAAGTTCACCTTACCTTCAGTTTCGGACAAACATCGCGCATGATGCTGCAGATAGCCTGCAGGTCACCTTCGATAGTCATTATCCTATCAGAGAAAAAGCAAGTTAGGATGGGAAAGAAGGAAGGAAACAAAGACTTTAATCGTATAACGAAGCTCATGACACCCTTCCATATAATGACAGACGTGAAGGGCTCGGATAACTAGACAACCGTCTGAGGGTTATCATCAAAACTTGTCATAGCATTCGATCTGCACTAATATGGACTAGATAAACATGACATTGATCACCACCCAGTGATCAATCGATTGTGAAAAATTACGATGATTAATACATATGGAATGAAGTTACTTACTTCTATACACGTCATCACAATGAAATGATTAATTACATAATAGTTTGGACTATCTACATTTATGTCTTATATCTTATTAAGCTATTTGTTTACAAGTTAAGATGGTTAGTGACTAGCAGTGGAATCCATGATGTGCATTTCGTCCTATTTAGAAAGATTCAAATAAACAATACAAAATGAATTTAAAATTCATCCCACTGTACAAGTTAGTGGGTATCAAGACTCAGTAGCTAAGTGGATAACGTGATATAGTTTGAAGCGAAAGGTATTGGGTTCGAGTTGTGAAGTGAACTTCAACTCTAGGATGTGGTAGGAACATCCAGTTGACGAGTCCCAAATAGGACGAAACGTACGTCGTGGATTTCAATGCTAGCCACCATCCATCTTTGCTTATGATGCTTGTGACTTAAAGCAATATGTCAATAAGAGACTGATCAATTCCAGTCCTAAACACCAATGGGAAGGTTCAGATAAACAATACAAAATGAATCTTTGTTTACATGTTCAAAAAGGATCATCATAACTATGGTAGCTTAATTTATCAAGAGTTGGAACATTCTGGTCGCACATATACTGGTCAGGACAAGAAAAGATGGATAGTGGCTAGTAGTGGAATCCAGGACGGGCGTTTCGTCCTGTTTGGGACTCGTCAGCTGAATGTGCCTGCATCGCAGAGTGATTTTCATTGTGGGACTCGAATTCAGTGCCCTTCGCTTCAAACGCCATCGCGTTATCCACTTAGCTACTTAGTCCTGATAGCCACTTACTTGTGCAATGAGGTGACGTTTTAAATTCACTTGGTATCGTCCGATTGATGTTTACGACTGCAATTGATCAGTCTCTTATTGGCATATGTTCGTGCTGTGCGTATTGTCTCGATATTGCCTTAATTCACAAGCATTACTGGTCAGGACATTTTATATAGAAATTAATAAAGGTCAATTAAATGACAGTTCAAGTAAACATGATAATAAAGGGGGGAGAGACATTATTTTACATCGTATAAAAAGAATAAGAAATTGTCGCATTACCACCTTAGGCCATAAAATGGCTTAAACATTACCAGATTAAATTGTTTTTGTACTTATAAGGCGGTGGGGGGTAAATTTACGAATAGCTAAGGCTTCTATGAACCTGAGAATTCATCGTTGACAATTTCTATACAAAATTTTTGAATATGTATTGATGTCAATGTTGTGTCCCGTTTCAGTTATGTGGTTTGCTATGGATGAACATGGTTTTCTACGTCCCACGTTGATCGCAACACTTGACACTAACTGGTTTTGAAGCCGTCTAGGCACATATTCAATGATCTTTGATTGCAGTGTTCGATTGCTCCGCCCATTTCATGTGTCCACAAATTCATGTAAATTAGCAAATGCAATCACATGTAACTTAATCACTCGTGCATTATCTAAGTCTATTTGGAATAATAGGCTCAGTCTTGTCAGTCACGACCAGTTTAGCAGCATAATTGGTTTTTTCAAAAGATGCTTTCAATCTCTGTCCTAAAAACATACTGTTAGAGTTGCCTCTATATGGTAGATAGATATAAACGGTTTTCTTTGGAACAGAATAGACAAGATGTTTTAGGGTTGACTGACTTTTGCACTTTAGTGGATAACCATTTGATATTAGTGTATCAGTCAGCGACTTTTCATCTTTTTCAACCGTATCTGTGGTGCATATTCTTTGAATCCTGTTAAAGAGGTACTTGACCAAATTGAAATGGACAGAAACTGTGGAGATTTAAATAGTGACCAGTCGAAGTTGGCTTCCTAAGAACTAATTGTCTTATACTTCCATCCTCTCTTCGACTTAAAAGTATGTGTAAAAACGGCAATTGGTTATTACTTTCTGCTCCATAGGTCATTACGTTATTGTTCTGTACGCCTTTGAGTTTATCTAATAACTGAGAAACCTCAAAATATTTATCACATATAACTATAACTATCATCCATGTATCTCTAATACAAAGTTACCTCGCTAACGAGCTCACTTGTCATATTTTCAACAATTATCTTTGATTACTCCATTTTGACAGATGAGTGTACTCAACTAAGCACGATAACCAACTGAAGCCTGAAAAGTTTTATAATTAATTATGTAACGTAACGATTAATCACTTTAGCTACTATAAGTCTCCTCTAAGTCTTAAATACTTCCAGATGATGAGCATTAGCAAGCATAAGATCTTATTTTCAAATTGCCTGGAAACAACTAACAACCACTGAACACCCTTAATCATGTCAGGTTGATGAAATCATTCTTCACCATTGAGACATACTATACCTAAATAAACAAAACTTTGGATGAAATTGTGGTGATCTACTTTTATGAAGAGAACGCGATTAGTGTAGTGCAAACATTTATTATTATAACCAACTGTACTAGTGATTGCTTTACTGTATCTTTATGTTTAATTGTACCAAAAACAGACTTTTTCCGTTATTTTTTTTGTGACCATGAACTTACTTACCTACGCACGGTAGTCTCGCCTATAAACTTTGGCACAATCTCGGTATTATTTCGATACCACAAGATCACCAACAAATATATCTTAACTACAATCTACAACTGTCCTTCTAATATTTAACCTACAGAGGATTTTAACCCGGTAATTGGCACGTAATCGATCGGTAGTGGTGTTCATAGTTAACTGCGACACAAGACTACCACAAAATCAATCATTAGTAATTCGTTACCGTATTAGTTAAGTTATAGCTGTTGACTGTAATACTAATGAGTATTTTGTCACTAACCTGAAGCAGTCATGCACAACTTATGTATGAATATTATTATTATTAGTAGTATAGGATACATTCATTTTTACATAAGTATTAGAAATTTGATACACTTCATTGATAAATAAACAGCCTCCTCTTTTTTTCTTTTAGATCAAAATAAAATCGTATGATAATTATTTTCGCCTTAGAAAATTTGGTAGTTGAATTCATGAGTCTATCTGAGCTAGACCGTCATGCAAAACTTGGAAGCATTGGACTGCCGTTTCGTCGTAGTATGGGACTCTTCAGCAGTGTACACCAACAATCTGATACTAATGGGAGTCGAACCCAGAATTTTCAGTTTCATGCGTGACTGCTTAATCTTTAGACCCCTAGGCCGTTATCCGATGGTGTTAATATCTAACTTAAATTAATCCACGAAATTGTGCCACTGTCCATCATTGTCTTCAGTGAGTTACTATCTCACAGCAGACATGATTGAACTCCACTGATCATGACTTCTCTCTAGAAGTCCAGGAAATTCATGTTGAAGCCAGTCACTAATTAGCACATGATGAATATTATAAGAAGGCTTTTTTTAATTCCTTAAGGCATTCTCTTTGATTCACTGTTTATAATCACTGCTATTCGTAAAAACTTACATTAATGTGTTATTATTATTATTCTCCGATTCTACGACACACATCACACACTAATTGAATCACACTTGATGGAAAAGCTTTGGAGAAGGTAAAAACGTTTACATATCTGGTCACCATCATTGATGTGCACAGTGGATCTGATGTAGATGTGAAGGTGTGGATCGAAAAAGTAAGGGCAGCATATCTACAACTGAAGAACATCTGAAGCTCGAAATAGCTGTCAACTAACAACAAAGTGAAAAATTTCAATACAAATGTCATGACAATTCAACTGTATGGGGCGAAAACTTGGAGAACAATGAAAGCCATCATCCAGAAGATACAGGTGTTTATTAACAGTTGTCTACGGAAAATACTTCAGATCCGTTGGCCAGACACTATCATCAATAACCAACTGTCAGTCAGTCAGCTACATATATATGCATCGGTCCAAGTTACCATACCTCATTAACACAACAAGATGGACACAGGATTCATAGAAGTAGTCACTTCGATCGTAATAATATATAAAAAAATAAAATGATATAGTACAGGAAGAAAGAATTAGTTCGTAGAAAGAAAGATATGAAGCGATTTTAATCTTATAGTTTAACCAACTGTAGGAGAGAATAAAATCAGATCCCAGCGGATGAAGAATTCAGAAAGGATCACTGGAAGTGGATAGGACACACATTGAGGAAAACATTCAACTGAGTCACAAGACAAGCCTTCACATGGAATCCTTAAGGCCAAAGGAAAAGTGGAAGACCAAAGAACACATTACACTGGGAAAATAGAGATAGACATGAGAAAAATGAACAAGAATTGAATAGAACTAGAAAAAAAAGGCCCAGGACAGATTGGGTTGAAGGAGAATGCTAGTCTGTGGCCTATGCTCCACTAGGTGGTAACAAGTGTAACTAAGTATTATTACTATTAATATTAATGTACGATACATTGGTTTTTACATAAGTATTAACAATTTGATACATTTCTTTAACAAATAAACAACCCCCTCTTTTATTTATTTGTTTTTAGAACAAAATAACATCGTATGATAAATAGTTTCTTTTTCAAAGAAAAAAGAAGAAAAAGAAAAAAGTAAATAATAATTGAAATTTGAGTAATTTTAACAAGAGAGGGGGGAGGGGAGAGGGGAGAGGGGGGAGGGGGAGAGGGGAGAGAAAAAAAGAAAGAAAAGAAGAAAAAAGAGAAAGAAATGTTTATTCAATCAACAATAACTTCTATTTACTTAT